CTTTTTCTTGCAGCGCCGTCGGGCGTTCCCGTCTGCGCTCGCGCGCTCGCGGACCCCCAGCAACGGGCGGCCGGTCCAGCGCAAGCGCGAGGGCCCCCGGACGCCACTGGGGGAAGAGGGAGGAGGCCGCCGAACCTTCCTGAGTCTCCAGGCGCCCAACGAAGAAGAGAGGGAGGTGGAGGGAGCGGCCAGGCCGCTCAAATGATGCAGTAATGCGGCGCTGAATCTAAGGAGACGTAATATGTTTGTGTGTATCGACGCACTTGTATACCATTGTCCGTGGCACTGTAGGTCGTAATCTTCTCCGGGTTCAGGCAGGCCGGTCTCGCCGTAGCTATGGCAGTCTGCGGGGTGCCGCGCGCTGGAGCCGCCACGTGGTCCCGTCCAGCCAGCGGACTGTGGCGGACGTCTCGTCCAGCTTCTCTACAGCGCAATCGTGGTACGTCTGCCGAGCCTGCCCTGCATTGCGTCGCCGATTGCGATCGGCCTCCTGGTAGTCCAAGCCTTCCGCGGGCCTTGGTGTTCGCCACGTGGACCTCGCAGTCCAGAGAATGCCCCTGGTAGCTCTTCTGGTGGTCCTCGTAGCCCTGCAGGTGGCCCTGTAGCTTAGCGCGTGGGGGTAGCAGCTCAGCCGGTGGCCTTGATAGCTCTGCTGCCGAATCTCGTAGACCAGCAGGTGGTCCTGGTAGGACTTCTGATAGGCCTCGTAGCTCTGCTGGCGGCCTTCGCTGCGGAGCTTGTAAGTCAGCTGGTTGGCGGTGATGCGTGTAGCTCAGCAAGAGGCTCTCGTAACTCTGCTCGCGAACCGCGAAATTCGGGCCGTGGCCCTCGTAGCTGCGCGGGTGGCCCTCTAAGCTGAACTGGTGATACACGAAGTTGGTCGCTCTGGTAGCTCTTCAGGAGGCTATTGTCTTTCGTCTCGTGGCTCTCGTAGCTCACTCAGCTCGTGGCCTTCGCAGCTCAGGTGGCCCAGCTGGTTGCCCACGTAGTTCAGTTGGTTGCCCTCGTAGCTCAGGCTGAATCCGTGCGCCTGCTAGTGGTCGTCGGAACCTTCGAAGCTGCGCTTGTGGCCCTCGCAGTAGAGCTGGTGGCCCTCGTAAACCTGTTGGAAGCTGTGGTCGCCCAGCAAGTGGCCCAAGCAACTGTATCAGTGGTTCCCGTGAGGCAGCTTGGTCCTCGTAGCCCTGCGTCGTGATACGGCCTGTGGTCCTCGTAGCGCAGCCTGTTGCCCTTGCAGCACTGCTGCTGGGCCTTGTAGCTCGGCAGGTGGTCCTTGTTTCCGTTCTTGTGGTCTTCGTAGCTCAACCTCTGGCCCTCGAAGCTCAGGTCGTGGCCCTCGTAGCTTTGCTGGTGGTTAAAATAGCTCAGCTGGTGGCCCTGGTGCCTCTCCTGGTGCCCCTCGTCGCTCAACTGGAGGTCCTCGTCATTCAGCTTGTGGCCCTCGTAGATATGTTGAGAGCTGTGGTAACTCAGCAAATGGCCTGGGTAACTCTGCGACTGGCTCCCGTAGCTCTGGTCGTAGTCCTCGTAACTCGGGTTGTGGCCTTCGTAGTTCAGCGGATGGCCCCCGTAGTTCATCGAGTTTCCCTTGTAGCTCTGCTGGTCGCTCTTGATGGCTCTTGTAGCTCAGCAGGTGGCCCTTGTACCTCTCCTGGTGCCTCTTGCGGCTCAGGTGGAGATCTTCGTGATCCGTCGCGTGGCGCTCGTAGCTGTGCTTGTGGTCCTCGTATTTCGGCTGGCGGCCCTCGTAGGTCTGTTGGAAGCTCTGGCAGTTCAGAAGGTGGTCCAAGAAACTCTGCCAGTGGCTCCTGTAGCTCAGGTCGCGGTCCTCGTAGACCTTCTTGTGGTCCTCATAGCTCAGAACTTGGCCCTCGCAGCTGGGCTGGGTGCCCGTGTTGCTCAGCAGGTGGTCCTGGTACCCTTCCTGGTGACTCTCGTGGCTCAGCTGGAAGCTCTCGTAGTTGAGATGGTGCCCCTCGTAAAACCGTTGGAAACTCTGGTAGCTCAGCAGGCGGATTGGGTAGCTCTGCCAAGTGGCTCCCGTGGCTCAGTTTGTGGCCCTCGTGACCCAGCTGGTCCTCGTAATAGTTCAGCATGTGGTCCTCGTAGCGCAACCGGTTACCTTTGCAGCTCTGCTGGTGGTTGTTGTAGCTCAGCAGGCGGCCCTGGCATCTCCTGGTGCCTGTCGTGGCTCAGCTGGAGGTCCTCGTAATTCAACGTGTGGTCCCCGAAGGTCGTCAGGTGGCCCTCCCTCTTCCTCCCCCTCGTCCTCCGCCTCCTCGTCCTCTTCATCCTTGGCCTCCTCCTCCTCGTCCTTATTCTCGTACTGGGCCTGATCAGATCAATCCAAAACTTGTCCCACTGCATGCTTCCACATTGTCCTTATCAAGGCAACTCGCCTGGACATCGTTTCTGGATGCGAAGCGTCAATCGTTGCATGTCGTCGGCTGCTCCCCGGCACGTGTGGCAGAAACGTCTGTTGCAAAGCGTCAGTCCACATGTTGCGGCGGAACTCGGAAGGACGGAACTCGCACGCGTGAATTTGCGCGCGGCCTGAACCTTCTCTGCGTGCGAATTCCGCTGGTGCGAAATCCGTCCGTGCGAAGTCCGTCCGTGCGAGTCCCGTCCGTGCGAGTTTCGTCCGTGCGAGCTCCGTCCGTGGGAGCTCCGCGCGTGCGAGCGCTCCGTCGGTGCGAGCTCCGTTCCGTGCGACTTCCGCTCCCTGCGAGTTCCACCTCCCACACGGAGCGCGATGGAGGGACGGGCGGAGTGCAGCCGAGGGAGGGAGGGGGGCAAGTGCGAATGGACACCGTGGTGCTCCTTCGCTGCGCGCTGCTCGAAGACACGGCGGTGCTCACTGGCACCGTTCCAAGCAGGGCGCCGTGGCGGCCGCCTTACACGCGACGCATGCAGAATGGGAGATGGCCCTCGCCCCAATAATATGAAGATGTATGTATATATGTGTATATATATATATATATAAACACTAGCGTGCTCGAAGCTCTCCTGGTACTCGCGTGAAGGTTGCCGGTGCTCGCGAGCATATTCTGAGGCTTGTACGCCGTCGAGGCCGTCGTCGTCGTCGTCGAGATCGTCGTCGTCGTCGAGATCGTCGTCGTCGTCGCCGTCGCCATCGTCGTCGTCAATGTTGTCGTCGTTGTCGTCGTCGCCCTCGTCGCCGTCGCCCTCGTGATGTCCTGCTGCATGGATTGTACACCAATGTACTGTCCCACCCGCCCGTGGGGGTCCGCCCGCCGGGCCCACCCGTCAAGGTCCGCCCCCGCCCGGCCAACGCCCGACCCGCCCATTATAGGGTCCGCCCGCTCGACCCGCCCGTCAGGGTCGTGGTCGCCGTCGTCGCCCTCATCGTCGTCGACGTCCTTGTCGCCCTCGTCCTCGTCGTCGTCGTCGTCGTCGTCGTCCTTGTCGTCGTCCTTGTCGCAGTCGTCGTTCTCGTCGTCGTCGTCGTCTCGAGCCCTCGTCGTAGACGTCGCCCTCGTGGATGTTCTGCGCACCACTACCTCAGTGCCCCGCCCGACACGACCCGCCCGCCCATCAACCCCCGCCCGTCCGACCCGCCAGTCCGGGTCCGCCCGCTCGACCCGCCTGCCCGACCCGCCCATGACAGTGGAGGCCAGTCCACAAGAGACCTTCCACAAGAGACCCAACCCAGAGACCCCAGGACGTCCATTGATTTTTGGTGTGGGGACGTCACGCTTTCCGCAGCAAAACCATCGAAACTCAAGAAACTCAGGGCACCCTGGAGGCAAGCAGGGTGTTTCTTGGCATGGGTCTCCACTGTAGGGTCCGCCCGCCCGACTCGCCCCGTCGTCCTCATCGTCGTCGTCGTCGAATACGCACTTCTAGAACATGATTATTGCTGATCGCTGGAAACACATCGAAGCGCTCTCGCCTCGACGCCGGCCGCTCTGTCTTTCCACGTGACGCTCCCGCTCGAGGGGTCTTGCATCCAAATCCGAGCCCCGGCAGGACGACAACGGCTCCCGGTCGATGCTTCCGCACAGTTTGCTCCGAGACGCCATGGTCAGAGAGGCCCCCGAACTCAGGAACGGCGTTCTCATTCGAGACGTTCTCGCAATTTAATCAAGCTGTTTACGGCCCAGCTTCGACGACTACGGCTCCCGCTCGATACATTCTCACATTTCACGACTCGGAGACGCCCTGGCCAGAGAAGCCCCCAAACTCATGGATGACGCTTTCGCCTGACACTTCCTCGCTATTCAATCAAATTCGCAGTGGCCCACCTGCGACGACAACGGCTCCCTCTCGATGCTTTCTCAAATTTACGCCGAGACGCCACCCGCCAGAGAAGTCCCGAAAATGAGGAACGGCGCTCTCGCCCAAGACTTCCTCAGAATTCAATAGGTTGGTGAGTTGCCTGCGGGCGCGCTAGCTTTCACTACGGCCACAGCGGTGCAGTGCACATGCAGAGTATGGTGCTGAATGCCTCTCCCAGGAGCTGGTATGAAAAGAAGTCCCCAAAAGGGGGTCGGTTCATAGACTCAGCGGGCGGGCGCAAGGGAGAGGACAAAACTTGCACACGACATTTAGGTCGGGCATGTCCCCTACAGGCGGATTTTGAAAGAAAAATGAAAATATCAAAAAATGTTCAAAAGTATCCCCAAATAGTCAAACCCGACTATTTTTCTACGATTTAAGAATTTTGAATATTCCTCCCGTAGAGGGACACGCCCGACTTAACACTCTCCGGTCGGCCCACCCGGCCCGCCCGCCAAGAGGTCCGCCCGCCGGACCCGCAAATGAATGTCCGCCTGGCCCGTCCGTTGGGGTCGTCGTCGCCGTCGTCGCCGTCGTCGCCCTCATCGTCGTCGTCGTCATCGTCGTCGTCGCAATTCGAAGCAGAAAGCGACTCAACCTTAACGATACCGCAGCTGTCGGTGCGCTTGCTTCGGCCTCTGATTCCAGTCCGAACTCGCGGTGACGAGGCACGAGAAGCACGACCCGCCGAAAAGAAACACCTTGGGGATCTCCTCGCAGGCGAGGTCGACGTTGCAGCGCGGAGCTCGCCTTGTCTCGCCCACCCTGCCGCCAAGCTGGCCGTGCAAGGGCCCTGCACCCGGTGCGCCGCAAGAGGCACGCGTTCTCGCGATGGGCTGTGCAGCAAGCGGCCCGTGGCTGCGCTGGCAGGAACGCGGCCGTGAGAGGAAAAGCGCACCGCCGTGCCCGAAGCCGCCGTAGGCTGGGGGTTGCTGCCGCACGCCTTGGCCAGGAAAGCTCCGTGCACAGACTGCGTCGGCAAGCTCCCTGGTGCCAACATCGCGCGGCCCCCGGCAGGGCTTCGAATTCATTCAAACGGCTGCCCACGCTCGCCTGTCGCAGCAATTCTGACTCACACGCTGCTGCACGCAGGCATCGCAATGATGGGGAAGAAAAGAGTCATGCACATCAGCGCGCACTGGTGACATCTGGTGACAGGGGTCCTGCGGCTGTCCACCAAGAATCATATCCCTCACGCTAACACGCGATACACTGAACTCCACCCTAGATCGTCACGACAAAATCTGCCAACACTCTCAAGAACACGTCTCTTCGGACGCATGCTGGCGGCACTCCCACCAACCGTCTGGGCGTAGGTGGATTAGAGAGTTAGCTCATCCAATCTTATCCCTTCACTACCGCGAGACAGTTTGTTGTGTCCTGTTCGGAACTTGACCCCCCCTCCTGCCCTGTCACCTGGGGTCTGTCGGCCCCCCTCCCCCCACCCTGGGAGCGGCCAGGGCGCCTGAGATAGTGCTGGTTGGCTCCAAGACGGGTCTGGACAGACCCAAATGGTTTCAAACATGGCGGCAGGTAGGCCACCTCGGTTAAACATGAACCTAAACATGCTTCTACGATGTCCCATGCTCATGGCAAGAGTGCCCAATATTTCCACGCTTCAAAGACCCCATGAGCGTCCAAAGAGCGTCTAAGGAAGGCTACAAGATGCGACGTTACGAGCTCCAGGGGGACAGTGATAGTTCAATATGTACTTCGTTAAATCGAGCGAATCCACACCTGCTTCCAGAAGGCCCCACCGGCCCCAGAAGAGGGCCCCAAAGCAGCCCCAAGAGAACATCGAAGGCTCCACAAAAAGCCCCAATAGAGTCCCCGAATGACTCCAAGAGGTCGTCTCTGAATTCACCATGTTTTGCTTTTGTGTTTCACGATGTGCTTATCGACTTCTCTTCTCCCGACAACTCGCTTGGCCATGTTTTCTGGATGGGCTGCGGAGGCGACGTGACGCGTCAGGAATTACGCGTGTTATGTTGGCGACGTATAGAATCATTCGGCGGTGGGCCAAGGAGTGCCGATGAGCAAGCCAAAGCGACACGAAATGCACATGCCGCACTTCTCTTGGCAACGCCGTCTTCGCTTCGAGGTAAAAATAACTTGCACAGCGAACGTCAGGCCCAACTATATTGGCGGCGCCAACAGCAAGGACACATATCAAACGACAAACTCATACAAACTCAAACACACATGCACAGACGTACGCATGCGCGCACACAGTTTTTACGTCGGCGGCTGGGCAGAGGTGCTGCTCCAGCGGTGTGACATTAGTGGGACACACAAAATGCGAATTAAGCCGCAGTGCGCGTGAGAAGGAGAGAGGAAGCCCGGCGCGGGCGGGGGGGAGAGGAAGCCGGGACCGCTCAGAGCAGGGCCAGGCGGCTGCAGGGCAGGCGCTGGGGTGGGGAGCCAGCGGCGGCGCCGGGGCGGCAACTGGGGGTAGGCAGCCTAGAGGCAGCCGGGCACGCACCCAGGGGGTGGTGAGCAACACACACCTACACAAAAGACAACACACACGCGCGCGCAGAACAGCTATTGCTTCAACGTTGTAACTGACAGCTGACGGTACGATTCCAACGCATGCGATATCATGGCAGGTCGGGGGGGAGGAGGAGGAGGAGGAGGAGGAGGAGGAGGAGGAGGAGGAGGAGGAGGAGGAGGAGGAGGAGGAGGAGGAGGAGGAGGAGGCGGAGAGAGGAGGAGGAGGAGGAGGAGGGAGGAGGAGGAGGAGGAGGAGGAGGAGGAGGAGGAGGAGGAGGAGGGGGAGGAGAAGGAGGCCCCCTTGAAGGGGCCATCAGGCTGCTCGGCCCAGGCTCCCTGGCTCCCTGCGTTGGTACTAGTGGAGGACAGTCCACAAGAAACCTTCCAGGAGGAGGGAGGAGGAGGAGGAGGAAGAGGAGGAGGAGGAGGAGAAGGAGGAGGAGGAGAAGGAGGAGGAGGAGGAGGATGAGAAGGAGGAGGAGGAGAAGGAGGAGGAGAAGGAGAAGGAGGAGGAGAGGGAGGAGAAGAGGAGGAGAGGCCCGTCCACAGGAAACCTTCCACAAGAGACCCAGCCCGGAGACCCAGGACGTCCATGGATTTTTGGTGTGGGAACGTCGCGCCTTCCATAGCAAAACCATCGAAACCCAAGAAACCCAGGGCACCCTGGAGGCAAGCAGGGTGTTTGTTGACATGGGTCTCCACTGTACCAATTTCCTGTTTCTGGGTTCTAATTATACGTCCTGCTTCCGCGTATAACGGTTACTGTCCGCGCGAGAGGAGGGAGGCCGAAAACCACCCTGTCTACCACCCACGAATCTCGCTGCCTGAACTTCGGGGGGGGGCCTGGAACAGGTACAAACTCGGCAAATTCGTCCCCGAGTCCAGGATCTTCCATACATTGCGCGAGATTCGCGCCCCCGAGGCCAGCATCCGTCGCAGAGCACGCCAAGGTCGCGCTCCCGAGGCCAGAAACCCTGTGCAGTATGCAAGGCTCGCGGTCCCGGGGCCAGAGCCCCTGGTGGAAGACTCGCGATCTGGGTGCCCGGAGACCTGCTGCACACTAGAGAAAGCTCGCTCTCCCGAGGCCAGAGCCACCTGCCCTGCAATTGCAACAGACTCGCTCTCCCGGACCAGAGCCACGGTAAAGTATGCAAGATTCGCGCTCCCGAGACAGGACCTCCTTAAACATTCCACCAGGTTCGCGCTCCCAATGCCAAGATACACACAAATTTACGCCAGAAGTGCTCTTCTGAGGGCAGGATCCGATGTGAAACTTGCACCAGACTCGCGCGTCAGAGGCCAGAACCTGTTGCAAATTACACCAGAACCTTTTGCAAATTACACCAGATTCGCGCTCCCAAAGCCAACAACCATGTGTAAACTATGGCAGATTTGCGCTCCAGGCCAGAATCCCTTGCAAACTACCCAGGGAAGCTCCCGAGGCTAAAATCAATTGAACATTACACCAGATTCGGGCCCCCGAGGAGACGATCCATGGTAAATGAGGCAGATTCGAGCTCCCGAGAACACGATCCCCCGTAACTCACGCCAGATTCGCGCTCCGAGGAGGAAACAAAGCGTTTGACGACAACTCAAACATCTCAAAGGTGCCTGCTGTATGCCAGTCGCCCCCGCATGATGTTGCCAGAAGTTTCAAACAGCGCCAACACGTCCCAGCTCAGGATAGCCCCAAATCGAATCGACAAGTCGGATCGGCGATCGACATGAATCGGATCGGCGGAAATCGGCAGCCGAATCGGGAACAGTCGAATCGGCGGACGTCGGCAAGCCAGTAGGCCTCCGTTGAGAAATCGGAGCCCGAATCGGAATCCCGAGTCGAAGCGAATCGGAATCGGAAGCCGTCGACATCGAAATCGAACCGAATCGGAGGGATCGAAACGGGCCATGCAGCATGGCTCCGGCGTCTCCCGATTTCGATGGCCGGAAGCCATCGAAACCGAACCGAATCGAATCGGAGGCATCGAAACGGGCCGTGCTCGGCATGGCTCTGGCATCTCCCATTATGGCCGAGGGGGGGCCAGCGGCGCAGGGCGAAACCCTTCCGGATAGACCGCCCAGGCTTGCGAGCATTCTGCGAGGACCGCGTATGCCACCTGCGGTGGAAGCTCACACCCCATCAACAACCTGTGTGTTTAGCATGCTCTGCGATGCCGTACCAGTCCTGAGCCGCACCACATTGGTTGCACCATGCTGCTGTATATGCCATGCCATGCCCGTCAGTGCTATGCTATGCTGAGCTGTGCTATGCCAAGTCAAGCTGTGCTGCGGTAAGTTGTGCTACGCGTGCATTGCTTTGCGAGAGGAAAAGCGCGCCAGGGGCGGCGCCGGAGGCGCTGCCAGGGGGGCCCAGGCGCCGATCCAAGAGATCCACGCGGAGCGCCAAAAGTTTATGTTTATGTGTTTTTTCTTCTGCGAGAGAAATGCAAGTGGACGTGTGCGAGTGAACGAACGCAAGTGGCGGCGACGGACGGCGGCGAAAGGCGGCGAAAGGCGGCGACGAGCCAGCCAGACCGGCACCGGGGCCCAATGGACGTGGCGGCGACGGGCGGCAGCGGGCGGCGACGAGCCAGCCAGGCTGGCGCCAAGGCCCAAAGTTACCTTGGAACACAACGGTGGGTGGACGAAAAGTGTCCACACGTGTCTCGCCAAGACAGTGATCAAAGCACGTCGGACTAGAACTAGAATGTATATCCCCCTTCCCCCAACTCAAAAGTTGACGGGTGTAGGCGGTAGGCCGCAGGCCAGGGACAAAATGTGGACTCTTCAACTTTGGTTTCGGGGGGAGGGGTGCGAAGCAAGGGCATTTCCCAATTGTGGTTGTTATCATGTTGCATCGCCTTACCGCCATGGGTGTGGACACTTTTTGCCCGGGCACCGAACCCCCAAGTGCAAGCACCGTTTTCGGGGCACACATACATGCATTTGATTGCACATGTGAACATGATATGTCGGCATTCCTCAGCGCTGCCATCCCATAGTTGCCAAAAGGTTGCCAGAATACACAAGTGCAAACTCGCAGCGCCCCGCACTGATGCGCCGCGCGTATATTCCAACTTCTTTCAAGACCATAACTTAAACTTACACACGCGGGAAAAAGAAAGCGCCAACACATCAGAATGGATGCGACACTTTTCGCGCCGCACGCGCTCTCCGTGACACGCCGATCTTCGATTTGAAGACAGAGCAACTGACAGCCAGCACTTTCCGTGGCGTAGCAGTGTGAAACAAGAGAGAGGGAGAGAGAGAGAGAGAGGGAGAGAGAGAAAAAGAGAGAGAAGGAGAGAGCAAGAGAAAAAGAGAGAGAGAGGAGGAGGAGGAGGAGGAGGAGAGGAAGGTCACTCGCCGACCCCGTTCGGGGGCGCGGTCGCCGAATCCGTGGATCGGGGGAGGTGCCCTCCCCAAAATGCGGCTGGTGCCGCCTCGCTCGGCGGCGGAGATCCCCGATCTCCCATGGAAGCGGGACCCGTCGCCAATCCACGCCCCCTT